AAACGAAAAAAAAAAGTTTAAACACGAGATAATGTGAAATGGTGAAATGGGGGTGCTGTTTAGGGGTTGAAATCGGTTTTTCTCGACTTGCGGCGAAGGGTGACCTCCTAGTGGAAAATGTTCAATACAAAAGTTATAGATAATAAAAAAATCTAAAACTTTTGTATTTGACATTTTTCAACATAACCTCAAATTTTTTCGAGAAAATGGCGAAAAACTGATTTTTCAGTTTTTAATTTTTTTTTCACGTAAAAATAATTTAATTTACATGAAATTTTGTGGAAGTATACCTTTTTTTGCCTGGAATAAGCTTGATTTTTTTGGAATTAAAAAAACAAATAGTTTTTGAGATGTTGACACTTTTTTAAAAAACTACCCTCATCTTCCACGGACAACTTTATTGATGTTTTTTTTGTATTTTTATATTTATATATATATCATTTTAATCGTGGAAATGTGTACTTTCAAATGGTCTATGCATGTTGTAGGTTAAATTTTCATTAAACGGCTTAAAATTACGAAAAACCGAAAAAAGTGACTTTTCTAAACACTAATTCATCAATTTCTCTAATGATTTTCAATTTTGTTGTTATTCTTGTTAATAATTGATATTGAATACATTTTAATGACAGGACGTATTGTAATGTATAATAATATTATTAAAGTTGATTTAATTTTATAAAGGAAAAAGAAGAAAGGTATTAAAAATAACATTTTAATGGCTATAAATTGTGCCATATTGAGAGTCGTAATCTGTCAATAAGATTCGCTAATTTAGTGTGCATATTATTAATGTATATTTTATTATTTTTTCATTATGTGTAGTATAGTAATGAGTCATGTAGGTTATTTAAAACAAAATATTTTTAATAAATTATAATTAAACATATAGTAGTCAAAAATAAAACAATATTTTTTTTCTATTTATTTATAAAATTACAAAATGTATAATAAAATGAAAACATTTAATTAGTTTTCTGTCTTTTCAGTTTCGATCGTGCTTCTTCTTCGTCAATAGAACTTTCTAATTCTGAAGTATCTTCGTAATCTGCAACGTCTTCTGGGTCTTCAAATTCGACGTCTCGATTTGTTGCTGGCTCTTCATAAATAATTTCCTCTGAATCGCTCATTTCTTCGAACGTTTCCTTGTCTTTATTCGAACAATTTTCATGACAGTTGCTACATAAGTTAGTGCATTTTAAGCCATGTTTTCGACAGCCACATCTTTGATTATTGCAACCACTTTCACAGTTGCAACTTATGCATTTTAATAATTCTTGGGGAATTAAGTCGTAATCGTCTGAGAGGTATTTGGGAACAAGTCTACCTACATGTTCCTT